CATTTTGATAACTTTATTTAAACATGCGTTTACTGAGAAAAAGAGCAAATGCAAAGATCGATTTTAAGAAATTATTTTAAATCATTCAAATGAAAAATCAAATTGCTCTGAAACACGTTTTAGATGCTGTTTTTCTTTAACAGTTTGTATGATGAAGTCTTCTCCTGTTTTCTCAGTCGGAGGATATTCGGTTGGACCCAGACTTGTATGAGCCGTGTCGATCCGACATCAGCCGACTTTGTCCCAACGTGAACTTTGGTAACGCTCAGGTGAGAAACATTAGGAACGTCTTCTATCCTTTCCTTTCTCTCCATCTTCTGCACTCTGTCCTTTCTCTTTTAGTTTGTCTGATCTCTCTCTCTCCCTCCTCTCCTCTGCTCCACATTCCTCTTCCCCCTCCTTTCTCTCCCTCCTCCGCAGATGATCGAGTGTCTGAAGGAGCAGAAGAAGCAGCTCGGTCAGCGCTGTCACCAGCGGATCTTCAAGCTGCAGGAGGGCGAGATGAACGACCCCGACCTCGACTACCAGCTGATGAGGGTCTGCAAGCAGATGATCAAGGTGAGGAGGAGGAAGAAGAAGAGTTGATACATCGATGTGTTAAATCTGAATCCACAATAATCAATATTTAGATAGACAAACACATTACAAGTGGTTATTACTCTTCAACTTGCTGGACCTGATCCTGACAGTTGAAGCTGTGACTCTCAGTCAGTTCCACTCTTCTCACAGGAGATCGTACCCACTCACCAAAGTTACATAGAACAGACGTTCAGGGTGAAGTGGGAATGAAAGCGGAAATATTCTCCATATTTAGAAGCTGCTATACTAGAATTCAAAGTTTCACAGTGCTGCTTTAAATCTTAATCGATCCTCCGAATAGTTTGGTTTGTGACTTAAATACAAACTTCTTCCTGCAGCGGTTCTGCACCGAGGCCGACGCCAGGAACGTTCTTCAGTGTCTGAAACAGAACAAAAACAGCGAGCTGATGGATCCTAAGTGTAAACAGACGATCACCAAGAGACAGATCACACAGAACACAGGTACACACACATCATTGAGAAATCTGGAAAAAGATCGAATGAATCTGAGCCTGTCTCACACACCTTCATCCTCCTCGTCCTCCTCCAGACTACAGGTTGAACCCGGTGCTGAGGAAAGCCTGTCGAGCCGACATCCCAAAGTTCTGCCAGCCCATCCTGAACAAGGCGACCGAGGACAGTGAGCTGGAGGGTCAGGTCATCACCTGCCTCAAACTCAAATACGCTGACCAGGTTAGACCACAACCACAATAACACACAACTTCACAACCGGCCGTGAAAAACGTCAGGAGGAGGCGACAAGTAGAGATTTGATGTGACAGAACTGCAAGTAGAAGGGTCAAATGATAAAAAAGTTTAGAAAAGGCAACAATAAAATCTGTAACGTGGGATAAAGGTTGAGTTAAACTTAAAGATGTGGAGGTATGGTTACGGCAAAATAACTTTTAAAATCAAATATGGCTTCTCTGTTCCTCTGTCACCTCAACTGTCCTGGTGTGTGTTACTGTTGTTTTTAAATTGTGTGTTTTGTGGGCTTCGGTTCAGAGGTTGTCTCCAGACTGTGAGGACCAGATCCGGGTGATCCTGCAGGAGTCGGCGCTGGACTACAGACTGGACCCACAGCTGCAGATGCACTGCTCAGACGAGGTAAACGCACAAACACATCTTTACTGTGTGAGTTTATTTTGGATCAAACCAGTTTTTAAACTTCCCTCTTACATATTTAATTGTGACATGGTACAGTCCTACAGTCTCCCTCTAACGGTTTGTTTTATTGCTCTGTGGTTTTCTGCTCTTTCTTGTTGCTGTTTTTCTCTTGTGTTGGATTCGTCTCCATTAGTTTATTTTCTATATGTTTATTTTTCTGCCTCCTGGATCTCCTTTGTTATTTAAACCTGTTGATTGATGACCAGAATGTTTTTTCCTCACTCACCTTTTCTCGTTTCCTCCTCCTCCTCCAGATCTCCAGGTTGTGTGTGGAGGAGGCAGCAGCTCAGGAACAGACTGGTCAGGTGGAAGAGTGTCTGAAATTTAATCTGCTGAAAATCAAACAAGACGCCTGTAAAAAGGTTAATAACTGTTACTGTTCTCCTGTCCAGTGAAATATTTCAGGACTATTTTGACGTCACGTATAATGATTGTTTAAAAGTATAATTTTATTTGTGGAACGTGATTTTTATTGAATTTACTCACACAGTAAGTGAGTGGAAATTATTCTGTATTTCCAACAAGGAGTTAAATTATTCCTTTGCTGGTGTGTTCAGTGTCTCTGCTCTGTAGGAAAATACACTGAATGATTAACAAGGCTTATGTTTGAAAAAGTTAAATATAGGTCAGACCAGCGTCAGTGTCGACAAATGTTTCTGCTCTAACTTCATAGATTCAGAGTTTGTGTGAAAACTGGTGTGTTTGTGTTCGTCCTCTGCACAGGAAGTCCTGAACATGCTGAAGGAGAGTAAGGCGGACATCTTTGTGGACCCCGTCCTTCACACCGCCTGCGCCCTGGACCTCAAACACCACTGTGCTGCCATCACACCCGGCAGAGGACGACGTGCGTTCTTTTACATTTTTAAATTGGATTTTGAACTTGTACAGAACTTTTCTTTTCAGATTTATAAAGATGCATCAGTTTCAGGATTTAGGAAAAGTAAAACATTAGTCTTATCTTGTTTTCTGTTGAACGTCATTAATGTGTCGCTTTCTCTCACGGTGCAGAGATGTCATGTCTGATGGAGGCGCTACAGGATAAAAGAGTCCGTCTACAGCCCGAGTGTAAGAAAAGACTTCAAGACCGAATTGACATGTGGAGCTACGCTGCAAAGGTAAAACGAAAAGATTTCAATTTAAAACAGCAAAAAGTGGTTTTTACACAAATATTCTATAACATGAATTATGTGATTTAAACTCTAGAACAACAGATGAAAACATCTGCACGAAGAGATTTAAATATTTTGACAAATTAATAAATGAAACTATTTTTCTCCCCTTTTAATGAAGCAGTCCAGAGCTGTGCAGGATTTTAAACGTGTGCATGCTTTAGTTTTATTATTATATAGAATAATTTTTTGCCTTGCAGGTAAAAAAAAAAAAAAAATCTCATTAAATATTTTGTCCAGGTTGTCCTGATTTTTTAAAAGTTGTTTTGCGCTGCTGTGCTGTGAACCTTTCCCTCTGGCCTGCAGGTGGCGCCAGCAGAGGGCTTATCAGACCTGGCTGTGCAGGTGATGATGTCGCCCTCTAAGAACTACATCCTGCTCATGATCACACTGAGCGTGGGCGTCCTGTTCCTGGTGGGGCTGCTGTGCGGTCGCATCACAAAGCGAGTGATGAGAGACCTGAAGGATCGGTAGAGAACAAAGATAAGACTCACTCCTCGCATCGTCCTGTACCTTCCTCCTCCTCCTCTTCCTCCTCTTCCTCCTCCTCTCTCAGATGCCCGATCTGTAACCAGCCAGCCTGCACAGTGCCAACGCCAGTGGTCACATCTGGATCCCGTCCTTGGTTTAAAACTCTTTGTTTGGCTGCTGCTGCAGATTTGCATCAAATGCAAAAGTTTTCCCAACGCTCGTGAAAATCTTTCATCTTTATTTGGACGTCTCTGAACAAGAGAGCACCGATTGTTTGACTCGCCCCCAAAACAGATCTGTTCCCCCGAGGTTGTTGTCTGGGGTCGGGTGTGAATTCGTCCAGCTTCCTCTTAAGTTCCTGATGTGACGGCTGCTTCTGACGTTTGGATTTTTTCCACCCGTTTAGTCCTGATGCTTTTTGTGGTATTTCGAGGAGCCCGGAGCATGTGGAGCAACAGGAAGTAATTTCTTTCTAAAAAGACTGCGGCTGCTTGAATCGCACACGGCGCAACTTTGAATCTCGTGGGAAGAGAAGATTTTGTTGAATTCCGAGACGTTCCCGTTGCTTGGGAACATTTCTCATGACGTCCTCTTCGCTCCTGCGCAGCATCGTGTCACCGGGTTCGACTCTGCGTTCGGACCAGTTCAGACCCTCCGCTACTGAAAAACTCCCTGACTGAACACCAAGGTCAAGCTGGTGTCTGTCATCAGGAATGTTGTGTGCACATGTGTTTCAAAACGTCATTTAAACGCTGATTAAAATCATTGCACTTTTTTATTTTATGCCTTATTTATTGTTGATTAATGAGAGTTTATTAAGTTTTATGTGGCTGAACATTTCTCTAATCGTCCATCTGTGTGTTGGGAGATTTGAAAGCTGTGGTTTCGGCAGTCGAGGACAAAAAGAGTAGCTCCACCCACGTTCCTGTTCTCGTTTGCCTTTAAAGAACTTTAACGAGAGGCGTCGTGACGTCAACATAGAATTAATACACGAGACCTGTGTAACAGCTGATTCTCTGCATAGGAAGGTTCTTTTTTATAAAATCACTTCTGCATCAATGACATGCTACATGTGTGACACGTCAGTGAAACCTGCACTGAGCTGACGACCCATCGAAAAGCCTTCCCTCAGGCCTCTGGGAAATTAGTCCCGTCCTGTTTCCAGTTCTGGATTAAAGCCGTCACAAAACATGAAGAGGCTTTAAACATTAATTTAAACTTAATTTAGACTCATGTAAAACAGCTGATTCTCTGCAAAGCAGGTTCTTCTCTTTAAAATATTTCCAATCATTTCTGTCTCTAGAGCTGTGGCACCACTGTTAAACCTGCACTCAGCTGATTTCCCTCAGGCTGTGATAACTGCAGACCTCAGTCCTGAACAACCACTTAGACCCGAAACGACTTAAAACGAGACCTAATATGATGCAAAGAGACGCACAACTACTGCAAAGAGACGCACAAGTACTGCAAAGAGACGCACAACTACTGCAAAGAGACACACAACTACTGCAAACAAAACCAAAATGACAACAAAGAGACGTACAACAACCACGGGAGCCGTTGTGCCTCTTTCAGTTTGGGTGTTGAGTAAAAAAAAAAAGGAGCTATTTGTTTACATTATTTCATATATTTTTTAATATGACAATTTCATTTGTTTAGTGAGAAGCAGGAGAGGCCAAGAACCAGAACTTGACATGTGAGTCGAAACATATTTTTATGTCCCCTCTCCTCAAGGTTTTAAAACGGTTCACGGTCGAAACAAACAAATCTCAAACCACAAATTGTCATCTTCTCATTTTTGTTCTGTTTTTCTAAAACAATCAATGAACTTCAGACGTTTCCTGTATTCGTGCTAAGCTAATCGTCTGAGCCAGTCAGAGTTTGGGGCCTGAGGGGCCACAGTGAAACTGGAATATTCAGCTTTTTGTTTTTGATCCAAAGTTGTAACGACTCAGGATTTAAATTTTCTCTCCACGCACACTGCGACTGAAGCCTGAGCTGAAAATCAACAATTTCATTTGTTAGGTGCAGACACCGAAACAAAACCCCAAGAATCACTTTTTAAATTCAGATAAAATCCCTCGCTCAGTATTTTAAATTTGATCTTTGTTTAGTTGATGTTTAACGAAAGAGAAGCGAACGTTATTAAGTGATGAATATTCATTTTTGCACTTTAACTTGATGTACGTCACCTCTGCAGAGCAGCGAAGAGTCCGTTGCCTTCGTTCGCCGACGTCAGCTCATCCATCTGTAAAAAGATCTCTAAAAAATGTTTTGCAGCGTTTTGTTTCACAGCTTTATGTTTGACATCAATGTGTGAATGATTTAAAAACAGATCCAGGAGAAGAGGGAACAGCATGTGAGACGTTTTGAAAAGATTTTGACTGTGAAGAGACGTTTCCTCCCTGAAAGCTGATGAACCGACAGCTCGAGTTTTTCTTAAATGATCTTCATGTTTGTGGCCGCGTCAGATGTTGGATCAGAGAAGTTTTAACAGCATCATCACCGGTTTTGTCTCAACGTGTGCAAACTTTATCATGTGCAGGTTCTTTTCCTTTTTAAATTTTGCCATGTTAATAAGAAAATGTAACAGAATCATAATTGTGACATTTGATTTTGCTGTACAGATAAAATTTGATTCAGTTTAATAAAATCTCTCCAGATTTTCATATTTCTGCCTCAACACGAGTCAATTTAATAAGAAACATGAGTCAATATCCTGATGCGAGTGATCAGGTCTCCAGTAGAGTTTTGGATAATAAGCTTAAGAAAGACATCGACCCTGAGAATGTTCTGCGGAACATGTTGGAAAACAAACTACAACAGCAATCAGCAGAGCCCATCAGCCACCATCTTCTAAACACGATTATTTAATTCACTAAGTAGAATATGACCCATATGTTTGTTTACATTTCTCAAAGCCGTTTCCTGACTCCACATGATCTCAGACTACCTCCTTATAAAAAGCTTCACATGTGCTGGATGCAGATTTTTATGTGGATCTGCCGCAAAAGGTTCTCACTCATAAACATCAGCCCACAAATATGCCTGGATAAAATATTTAATCTTCACTGCTGCTTATCTGTTACACACAAACAATAAAATATACGGAAAAGAAAACAAGAGGCAGTGAAAGACTGAGGAAAGTGAAACTATCCCCCCCAAAAGAGGATTCAAAAAGCAGATTGTGTTTCTCATCTTTAAAAAAGTCATGTAACAAAGTGGAAATCTTATCTTCAGAACCAAGGGAGCCTAAAATAGGTCGTCTCCCTCCCCGAGCTCTAACATTACATCAGTGTGCATTAATAATTACTGAATGAAAACAGGGTGAAAGTCTTCCATGTGCAGAAAGCTCTTTATTGTTGCTTCCCACTTTATAAACTGTACAAGATTCTGAAAAGAAAAAGCATCAAAAGGAGCAGCAGCATTAAATTCTCTATTATATCTCTTTGTTATTCAGACGTCTACATGGGTTAACTTAGCAGTACTCAGATCAGCAGACAGGGGGCGCTCCCTCACACACAAACCCACATGCAGGAACATGCAAAACCACACAACAACATTTTCACTTGTTCCAGACGTCTGAGGTGCGAGTTTGTGCTTCACGATCTCAGCACGGAAAAAACTAATCATAGCAACAAAAACATCCTTCCACAGGTAAAATGATTTAAGTCTAACGCTCCGGTGACGCCCCTGCACGGGTGGGTCGAGTTAACAACGAAGAACGGAGGCTAAATTAAAAAGAAAAGAACAAATTAGAAAGTCATTAAGTCGACTGTAAAAATGCTATTCTTAAAAAAAATGTCCCCATCAGAGGTGAAAATCATCTGACTTGATATTAACAGCTATGACGGTGAGAAATGATCAAAACAAGAGGAAAGAAAGTGAATTCAGTGTAACACCAAAATAATAAATCTATAAAACAACCAAAGCAAACTGTTATGAAGGGGAAAGGATCAGGTGCTGCCAGAACAGTGTCCAGGAAACAGGAGATCGACTGGTTTCTACTGGGATCAGACTGGAGGCCATCAGCAGACGGCTGTGATTCCTCGGTCAGACAGCAAGGTGGCGCCGCACATTTCTTACTCTCATCGACTGAGGCACTGAGTCTTTTCTCTGTCGATTCAAGCAGCAGCCGCCATGTCACGGCCGAGCGGAGGAGACGAGGAAGAGGAGACGAGGAAGAGGAGACGAGGAAGAGGAGACGAGGGAGAGGAGCAGGTGAAAGTTCTTCCGTGTAGATCCTGGATCCAAGAAGCTTTAAAGACAGATTTGAAATCTACGCAAAAAGTTTGTCTGTTTTTAACTTTGCATTTGTTTACTTTTAACTTTCTTGAAGAGTCGATTAACGATTTAAATAGCAAAGAGCGGATTCCATCGACTGTAAATAAAGGTCGACGACATGGCAGCTCCCCAAAAGTAAAACCAAAATATCTGGATCGCCCCCTAGTGGCTGGCTGCAGTGTAGGTCATAAACCCTGCCTCCTCCATGTCAGCAGATTGGACAAGAAGGAAATAATGTTTTCTCAGAGACGGTTTCTGTCATTTAAGGTAGACTGACGTATCAGGAGTCCACGAAGGGTCAAGGCGAGAATTACTTTTGCGTTCCCTTTGCAATACGTCAGTGAGCGACCCGACCCGGACCTGGGACCCAGCCCGGCCTATTGGGTCAGGTGTCGACACCCTCATTTCTGACCTGCCGTACAGATCAGCGTGTTGAAAAGTACAACTGCTCAGTAGACATGGTTATCTACTGAAATATACAGTGTGAAGGTACAGTAACTGTTGTCAGGACGACTGCACCTATGAAGACATGACAATGTTGCATGATGGGAACAGGAAACTATCGTGAGATAACAACAAAAAAATTCTTGCCGTGAACCTTTCGGGTCATGATTGACAACTGAGACGGACTCGTGATTGGTCGATAGCGTGTATCTTGATACCGCAGCTCAATCCCCCGATCACAGAAGATGAGGATTGTGACGTGCGTTCACATCCGGGATATTTTAGGTTCATTTCTGGATCGCTGGAGGAAGTGGAGACGCGTTTTCCATCTTTATTTTCAGCCTATACTGGAAACCATGAGCCTGGTTCTGGTTTTCAAATCAAGTTCAATTTGTATATGTCAGTGCTTGTTCAGATGAAATAAACCAGACTTAATGTGCAACTTATTCTAAGCTGGTTTGAATCTCTTTGGAAAGAATGAGGCTCAAAAAAAAAAAGATTTCCCGACTACTATTCTATTGCTTTTGAGTTTGATTTGACGTTGTTAATAATAATAATAATAATTAATAAACGATGGAGGTGAGAAACCAGAACCCGTCAGAAATTCACGTTTCTCTCGAGTCCGTCGTCAGGTTTGATCAAAACTCTTCTTTCAAACGATGTCGTCAGGCTGAGAAACCGTCTGATCTCCAAAAGCTCAAATAACAGAAAACAAGTGTTGTACAGTCAGTAACCACAGAGGGGGCGTGTCTACGTGTCAGCACTAACAGCTTCCAATTGGTCCTGGCGTCTTGAGTGTAGTTGTACCATTGGCTGATAGACTGGAGGGGGCGGGCCATCAAGACGACGCCTGGACATAGTTGGCGGGGTAGAGGCCGACCCGGCCGCCGCTCAGCTGTCCTTTACACCAGCCCTGCTCGTCCTCCTCCCCCAGCTTCAGCAGCTCCTCGCCTGGAACATGAAGCAGAGTCAGTTTCCTGTCAGGGGTTTCAAAATAAAAGCATGGAAAATGCGAGGAATACATACATCTGTGCTGATAAATGTGAAAC